TCGGGCGAGTTGAGACGCTTCCAAGCCTGCTGCTTCAATACACGGTGTGGGTGGTGTGGTATGGTTTGGGTGGTGTGGTGTGGTTTGGGTGTGGGTGGGTTGGTGTGGGTGGTGTGGTTGGGTGTGGGGGTTTGTTGTGGGTGGTGTGGGGTGTGTGGGGGATGATGTGGGTGGTGGTGTGGGGTGTGTGGGTGGTGGTGTGGGGAGTGTGGGTGGTGGGGGCGAATGGTGTTAGTGGTGTTGGGGATGGTGTGGGTGGTGTGGGGGATGGTGTGGGTGGTGTGGGGGATGGTGTGGATGGTGTGGGGGATGATGTGGGTGGTGTGGGTGGTGGTGTGGGGTGTGTGGGGGATGGCGTGGGTGGTGGTGTGGGGTGTGTGGGTGGTGGTGTGGGTGGTGGGGGCGAATGGTGTTAGTGGTGTGGGGGATGGTGTGGGTGGTGTGGGTGGTGGTGTGGGGTGTGTGGGTGGTGGTGTGGGTGGTGGGGGCGAATGGTGTTAGTGGTGTGGGTATGGTGTGGGTGGTGTGGAGGATGGTGTGGGTGGTGTGGAGGATGGTGTGGGTGGTGTGGGGGATGGTGTGGGTGGTGTGGGGGATGGTATGGGTGGTGTGGGGATGGTGTGGGTGGTGTGATGGATGGTGTGGGTGGTGTGGGGGATGGTGTGGGTGGTGTGGGTGGTGTGGGGGATGGTGTGGGTGGTGTGGGGGGATGGTGTGGGTGGTGTGGAGGATGGTATGGGTGGTGTGGGGGGTGGTATGGGTGGTGTGGGGGGGTGGTATGGGTGGTGTGGGGGGTGGTATGGGTGGTGTGGGGGGTGGTATGGGTGGTGTGGGGGGTGGTATGGGTGGTGTGGGGGGTGGTATGGGTGGTGTGGGGGGTGGTATGGGTGGTGTGGGGGATGGTGTGGGTGGTGTGGGTGGTGTGGGGGATGGTGTGGGGGATGGTGTGGGTGGTGTGGGGGATGGTGTGGGTGGTGTGGGGGATGGTGTGGGTGGTGTGGGGGATGGTATGGGTGGTGTGGGGGGTGGTATGGGTGGTGTGGGGGATGGTGTGGGTGGTGTGGAGGATGGTGTGGGGATGTTGTGGGTGGTGTGGGGGATGGTATGGGTGGTGTGGAGGATGGTGTGGGTGGTGTGGAGGATGGTGTGGGTGGTGTGGAGGATGGTGTGGGTGGTGTGGAGGATGGTGTGGGTGGTGTGGAGGATGGTGTGGGTGGTGTGGAGGATGGTGTGGGTGGTGTGGAGGATGGTGTGGGTGGTGTGGAGGATGGTATGGGTGGTGTGGAGAATGGTGTGGGTGGTGTGGAGGATGGTGTGGGTGGTGTGGAGGATGGTGTGGGTGGTGTGGAGGATGGTGTGGGTGGTGTGGGTGGGGTGGGGGATGGTGATTCTCGCATCTCAGATTATTATTGACACCAAAAGAGCATGAAAGATATTATAATGAAGCACCACACAACAAAGAAACAAACTAATGTGTCCTGGCATATGTTTAAAAAAAAAAAAAATAAGAAGGTTGTTGGGGCCGGACGGATGGAACGAATTCCGCACTGGAACGAATCGGCTTCGCCCCATATAGTTCGTTCAAGTGAGGACACACTGTATATATATATATATATATATATATATATATATATATATATATATATATATATATATATATATCCTAGAGAGAGAGAGAGAGTGAGTGTGTTTGTGTGTGTATTCACCTAGTATTCACCTAGTTGTGTTTGCGGGGGTTAAGCTTTGCTCTTTTGGCCCGCCTCTCAACTGTCAATCAACTGTTTACTAACTACTTTTTTTTTCCACACCACACACACACACACACACACACACTCCAGGAAGCAGCCCGTGACAGTTGACTAACTTCCAGGTACCTATTTACTGCTAGATAACAGGCGCATTCAGGGTGAAAGAAACTTTGCCCATTTGTTTCTGCCTCATGCTATAATCGAACCCGCGCCACAGAATTACGAGTCCTGCGTGCTCTCCACCAGGCTACGAGGCCTGTGTGTGTGTGTGTAATTACCTAAGTGTAGTTACAGGATGAGAGCTATGCTCGTGGTGTCCCGTCTCCCCAGCACTCTTTGTCATATAATGCTTTGAAATTACTGATGGTTTTGGCCTCTACCACCTTCTCACTTAACTTGTTCCAACCGTCTACCACTCTGTTTACAAAAGTGAATTTTCGTATATTTCTCCGGCAGCTATGTTTCGTTAGTTTAAATCTATGACCTTTTGTTCTTGAAGTTCCGGGTCTCAGGAATTCTTCCCTATCAATTTTATCGATTCCTGTTACTATTTTGAACGTAGTGATCTTATCTCCTCTTTTTCTTCTATCTTCTAGTTTTTGCATATTTAATGCCTCTAACCTCTCCTCGTAGCTCTAGTCCTTCAGTTCTGGGAGCCACTTAGTGGCATGTCATAGCACCATTTCCAGTTTGTTGAGGTGCTCCTTAAGACATGAGCACCATACAACCGCTGCATATTCCAGCTTTGGTCTAATAAAAGTCGTGAACAATTTCTTTAGTATTTCTCCATCCATGTATTTAAAAGCAATTCTGAGGTTAGAAAGTGTAGCATAGGCTCCTCGCACAATGTTCTTAATGTGATCAGTTTTCTATCTAAAACCACCCCTAGATCCCTTTCTTTGCCAGAATTCTTTAAAGATTTCTCACATAATTTATAGGTTGTGTGGGGTCTATGTTCTCCAATTCCATATTCCATAACATGACATTAATTCACATTAAATTTCATTTGCCAAGTGTTGCTCCATATACTAATTTTGTTCAGGTCTTCTTGAAGGGCATGAAAATCATCTAGGTTTCTTATCTTCCCTATTATCTTAGCATCATCAGCAAACATGTTCATGTAATTCTGTATTCCCACTGGTAGATCGTTTATGTAGACAATGAACATTACCGGTGCAAGAACTGAACCCTGTGGTACTCCACTCGTGACATTCCTCCAATCCAATACCTTGCCTCTGATTACGGCCCTCATTTTTCTGTCAGTTAGGAAATATTTCATCCATGTTAGTAGCTTACCTGTCACTCCTCCAATATGTTCCAGTTTCCAGAACAACCTCTTATGTGGAACTCTGTCGAAAGCCTTTTTTAGGTCCAGATAGATGCAGTCAACCCAACCATCTCTTTCCTGTAAAATCTCTGTGGCTCGATCATAAAAACTGAGCAAGTTCATTACACAGGATCTTCCAGATCAAAAACCATACTGTCTGTCTGATATTATATAATTTTTCTCCAGGTGTTCTACCTATTTAGTTTTAATTATTTTTTCCAATATTTTGATTATTACACTTGTCATTGATACAGGTCTATAATTAAGGGGGTCTTCCCTGTTTCCACTTTTGTAGATTGGAACTATGTTAACCTTTTTCCACACATCAGCTACAACTCCTGTACACAGGGATGCCTGAAAAATCAGTTGAAGTGGAATGCTGAGCTCAGGTGCACATTCTCTCAGAACCCATGGTGAAACTCCATTTGGACCAACTGCTTTGTTCTTACTTAGCTCCTTGAGCATTTTTTCCACTTTGTCTCTTGGCCCCTTCTATGTGCTCTATTTTGTTCTCTGGAATTCTTATTGTATCTGGTTCCCTAAAGATTTCATTTTGTACAAACACACTTTGGAACTTTTCGTTTAGTGTTTCACACATTTCCTTTTCATTTTCCGTAAATATATTTCCCATTTTCAACCTCTGAATATTATCCTTTACCTGCAATTTGTTGTTTATGAATTTATAGAATAGACCTGGTTCTGTTTTACATTTGTCTGCAATCCCTTTTAAAAAATTTCTTTCTGCCTCTCTCCTCACTGCCGTGTAGTTGTTTCTCGCATCTTTGTATCACTGGTATGTTTGGGGGTTCGGCCTCTTCCTGTATTGATTCCATTTTTGTGTCTTTTGGTCTCTGGCCCTCTCGCAATTTTTATTGAACCAATTCTGTTTCCTAGTTCTGCATCTCTGTTTTGGTATAAATTTTTTTGTGCCTTTATCATATATTTCACAAAACTTGACATACATCTCATTCACTTCCTTGCCTAGCATCAAGTCTGTCCAATTATACTCACTAAAAAAATTTCTAAGGTCGCCATAATGTCCTCTCCTGAAGTCTGGTTTTTTAACTGCTTCAACCTCCTTATTTTCTTCCAGCTTATAACACATTGCATACTTTATTCCCCCAAAAACATGGTCACTTTTACCCAAGGGAGGAAGGTACTGAATGTCAAATATCTTCCTCCTTCCTGGTAAATATCAAATCTAGCATGGAGGGAACGTCCCCTTCCCTAATCCTCGTAGCTTGTTTAACATGTTGATACAAGAATGTTTCCAGGATGAGGTCTACAAATCTACAGGTCCAAAAATCTTCTGTTTTAGCTTCATATGCTTCCCAGTCTATGAATTTCAAGTTGAAGTCAAAGACTATCAACAGTCGTGATCTATCGTTATCCGCTCTCGCTATAATCTCTCTCATTATTGTTATAAGACCTTCGCGTTTACTATCTAGCTTTACTATCTAGTGTGTGTGTAGACAGGGTGGCAGAAGATACAAATTCAGAAAAAAGGGAATTTAGGAGATCATTCTAAACAAGGAGACCATGTGGAGTCACGGCAACTCGGGTAGGGTGTGTACATAAGACAAAAAGGCCAGTATTAGAGCCGCACCCCTATATATGTGATGCTGAACCCTCTTCAAGACCAAGAGGTGTACAGGGTGATCTCCTAGGTAAATTACAAGCACTCCAGTGTCCATTGCTGGTCGACCGACGGTAGCGGGAGTGTGACTGCCGAGGTCGGTTGTTTGTTCCGTCAGGGAGTAATTGGGGACGCTGTCCGCCTATACGCAAATAACAGTCTGGTGCATCACCCAGACCTTTCTTTTGGAGGTTAAGTCCCAAAGTCCCCAACCCCCTCAGGGCAGAGCAATATAAATAAATAAATAAAAAAGGGAGCACCAGGAGATTAACCCCAAGGATAGACTCACTTTGTAAGTGCTGTGACACGAGGCATATGATGAGGAATGAGGGGGTAGCCATATAAAATATCATCAAAGCCATGTCTTGCAAAGAACTCTGCTTCCTCCAATGTTGACGTGACCAAGCCACACTTCCTGCCACCTGTTTGTAGCAAAGCACACTCGCTATTCCCATCATTGAAAGGAATAAAAGAAATACCGATTAAAATGGTCATTTACATACAAATGTGTAATGAACATTATATTGTTCAAAGAAACATTATAATGCTGTGTGCACTAGTGGCTTTCAAGAATGTAAGAACTCTTGTATATATAAATAAAAAAAATTATATTAAATAATTTACAATGTACATTGCATGAAGCCAGTAATACACACAGTCCTTGAAAAGTTTTCATAAAACCCAGCGTTGAATGTAATGAAACGCCATTTTCTGGGTGAGACCTGGAGGCTCCCCAGGAGCTATCCAGGCTGATTTGAATGCACAGTATCCACTCAATTTAACGGCCTCTTTTATACCGATCTGCCAGTAATAACGACCGGTTTGGGAGACCGGTATTTAGAGCCTCATATAACGGTCTGGCGGTCGATATTACCGAAGGTCGGTATTGGGTTTGTTTTGGCATCAGGGGGTCCTCACATGGCAAGCAGGCCACCTACCTCTATCGTCCCCTCCCTCACCCTCACTGCACCTCTCCCTCACTCCCTCACATGGCAAGCAGGCCGCCTACCTCTATCGTCCCCTCCCTCACCCTCACTGCACCTCTCCCTCACTCCCTCACATGGCAAGCAGGCCGCCTACCTCTATCGTCCCCTCCCTCACCCTCACTGCACCTCTCCCTCACTCCCTCACTCCTGCTCTCCCCCCACACCCTAACGTCCTGCCTTCTCCCCCCCCCCTCAAGACCCATCTGGAAAATGACTCAGTAGATTGCTAGCCAGCCAGAGACAGCCTGGAGAATCTCCATCTAATACAATAAAGCAGTCATGAAACAAGTATTTTATAACTTTTTATTATCCTAATAATATTACTAAACAAAAATGTTGTTGTGTTGATTTAGAGGCGACGACGATCATGGAATTGGATGCGCCCCGGCTGCCCGATACCGGGAAATAGCGAAGGGATGGGGTCCCTATAGTCTCTTCGGGCCATAGACTCTGCAATCTCCTCAGGCCATAGACCCTGCAATCTGATGATGTACATCCAAAATTTAAGAAACAAATCTGGTTAACTGGGTCAAGTGTGTGAGGCTTATCAGAGTGAGCCGGTCCTTCCCCACCACCGACACTCCTTCCCCACCCGCTCCCCCCATACATCCCATACACACGCTCTCTCTGCTTCACCTGAACTCAACACCCATCCCTCCCCTCCCTCCCTCCTTCCTTCCTTCCCTCCTTCCCTCCCTCTATCCATCCATCCCTCCATCAATCCAACCATCCCTCCCACCATCCATCCATCCATCCCTCTCTCCCTCCATCCATCCATCCATCCCTCCCTATCTTGAGGTTATCTTGAGATGATTTCAGGGCTTTAGTGTCCCTGCTGCCCGGTCGTTAACCAGGCCTCCACCCCCAGGAAGCAGCTTGTGACAGCTGACTAACTCCTAGGTACCTATTTACTGCTAGGTAACAGGAGCATCAGGGTGAAAGAAACTCTGCCCATCGTTTCGCTCCGCCACCGGCTCCCATCCACCCATCACTCCCTCCCCCTCTCCCTACTTCGCTCCCTCCCTGCATCCATCCCTAGATCCCTCCCTCCCTTCATCAATCCATCCCTCCCTGCATCCATCCCCCCTCCCTGCATCCATCCATTCCTCCCTCCTTCCATCCATCCATCCGTGTCTCCCTCCCTCCATCCATCCATCCCTCAATCCATCCTTCCATCCCTCCCTCCATCCATCCCATCCCTCCATCCTTCCATCCATCCCTCCACCCATCAATCCATCCATCATCCCTCCATCCTTCCATCCATCTCCATCCTCTCCCTCCTTGGCTGCCTCCCTCCTTGCTTCTCCCTCCCTGCCTACCTCCCAGCCTCTTCCTGCTTGCCTGCCAACATTTCAGCCTCTCCATCCCTGCCTGCCTGTCCATCCACCCACCCACCAGTCAGCCATCACCGACACAATGAGTGCATTTGGAGCCGACATGGTGCACGGATGTTCCTTAATTGTGCAGATATGTCCAACAAAGCCACGGAATGAACACTCCAGCCTCGTGACAAATCAAAACAATGTACCGTGAATCTGTGACGTCACAGGGTAGAAGGCACTCAAATTCAAATTCAAATGTTTATTCAGGGAAAGTACATACATACAAGGTGTGATACAAACATTGATGGATTTATAGATAGAGCTAGTACATACAATGCCTAAAGCCACTATTACGCAAAGCGTTTTGGGCAGAGTGGTGGACCAAGTGGCTGTCTGTACAAAATATATCTTACCTGAATGTTACTTGAAAAATTACCAACACTTAACTTGGGAAATACTGGAGCTCTGGAAATATCGACCAGGGTACAGCCCCATATAGGCCATTAAATCGAGTGGATACTGTATTAGACCTTGGCATCAGTCAAGCGACTGGAGTCCTAAGCTAACCGGAGACCACAAGCCAGAACCTGGCCCCCCTCAGAGAGACACGAGGAGTAACGGCCTATAGAAACCCTTGTGTGGTTGGAAGCATTCTATGTCTGCCATCGACCAGGTCAGGCACCGAGAAAGGTAAGCGCCCAAAAACAAACCCCTATTTTGGTTAAAAGATAAACACTGAAAGCAGAACTGTTGGACAGAACTCACCAAATGAAATTGAGCAAACGAGTATGATGTCACCGTGCCGCTATCTGCGCAGCTTCTCCCTCCCCTGGGAGAGGAAAGGGGGAAGAAGGAGCCCCAGACCCCCCCCCCCCCCGCACCAGCTAACCACATCCCAGTTCTGAGGCTGGATGTCAAAAACACGCAAAAAAAAAATAACACCAATCGGAAGGAGGGAGGGTTGCCTGGGAGCCTCTGGGTCTCGCTCAGAAAAATGGCATTTCATTACATTCAATGCTGGTTTTCTGGGGAAAGCCCCTTCGGCTCCCCAGAGATCCAAAGAAAAAACAAGAAGGACTGTTTTGGGTTTCCCCCGAAGGAACCAGAACAGCCGACAAAGCCAAACCCGACCTGGCGGATAGACCAGCATGGCAAAGTTCAGGCTCATGTACAAACCCTCAAGCAACCGTCGGGTGACCCGGGAGTCCCCCAGAAACAGGCGAAGGTGGGACTGCAAGCTGAAGCAAAGCCTCTGGAGGGAGAGACAGGTAAGCGGTCCGAGTGTTCCACACAAGACCCAGCCAAGACTAAGCCTGAGAGGGAACCAGATGGGACTTCCTCCAGTTCACGAGGAACACGAACTCAGCGAGCTGGGAAAGAACCAAATCCTTGGTAAGCACACATGCGGACTGGCTGGGAGCCCACGCCAGCCAGTCATCGAGGTAGGCCAGAACCCGAACCCGTAAGAGAAGCAGACGGGCCGCCACGATCTGGGTAAGGAGTGTGAACACACGAGGTGCCAGATTCAAGCCGAATGGAAGGCAATGAAAGCTGTAAGCCTGACTCCCGAAAACAAAACTGAACCAATCCCTGAACCTCGGATGAATCGGGATGTGCCAATACACGTCCCGGAGCTTCAGGGACACCATCCAAGCGCCCGGCTCCAAGAGGCGACGGACCTGGGTCAGGGTAGTAATCCGAGAGGAGCGGCAAGAGACCCCAGGGGTTTAGATGGAATAGGTCAAGAATGAACCGCAGGTGCGCACAGCCCCATTTCAGAACCGGAAACAGGTGGGAAACCTGTTAAGGGACAGGGTCATTTTGACCACACCCAAGCAAACCCACTCCAAGATGACCCAACAGAGCGCAGGAAAAGAGGCCAGCACCAAAGCCCCCAAAGGAGGAGGAGCCACCCAACGCCACAGTAGGCCGTCTGAAACGATCCGAAAAACCGACAAATCGTGAGGGCCAGGTGTGAGCAAACAGCGCTAGCCTTTCTCCCATAGACCAGTCAATGGGACGAACCACGAAAGGGCTGACGCCCCTTACGAGAAACCGACCAACGAGCAGAGCGATCACCGTGCCGACGGAAAAAGCTACCTGCAGATACTGCATCACCGCAGACTCTGCAAACAGCAAAGGACAAAAAGGCAAAGAAAACCTAAGAGCCAGGGGCCCAAGTGGACCCAAGTGGACCCAAGCGGCCCAAGCAAGCACTGTCTGCCAACACACGAGATGAGAAGCAAAAAAACAGAGACGCCGCATCCCGCAGCATCGGTGAGAACAGCTTCAACAGGGCAGACGACACACGCATAGCCATGACCAATGCACCAGACCCGGGATCGGCCCAATGTGCCTCCACATCCTCCCCAAGCCAATTTGAAGAGCGCTCAAGAAGGGAAAAGAACTGGAAGACCAAAGCCAAAAGGCCACATGCACGCAAATCGTCAGCAACCAGGGCAGCCGAAAGGGTGGGAACCTGCACGTGAAGCTGCACAATGCTGACATCCCAAGGAAGGGCAGGGGCGAACAATTACACACTGAGGTGCTCAAAGTCGCCCTACAGGAAAACCTGGACCACCGTAAGAGCCTCCAGCCACTCAAACATATGGGAATAACAGAACGTATGCCACGCTTCCATCGAAAAAACAGGACATACTGCCAGCAAGGACAACTCCAAAACCTCATAATGAACCCAGTAAGAAAAAGAAGATCCAAACACGAACAGAAAAAGATCCATTATGGAGGCGTAATCCGGGTCACATAGGAGGTAAGCAACAAGGGCCTCCCGCATGAGGTGCATGAGGCTACATATCTGCTTGTAGGCGAGATGCGAGAGGCCGAAAACCTCTGGAAGGACAGGACTAAAGTACCCAAGGGAACACGAAACTGAATCCGGGTAGGGGTCGATGCCATATCAAACCCAAGCGAGGTTAAACGGGGCCTAAGCCCCCCCCCCCCAGTCAACCCCTCTCCGCCCTGGGAACCTCCACATTTCCTGCCAGGGCCGAGCCGTCTTCTAAACCCCCTGCCTCGAAAGAAGAGACAAAAGCCGCCAGGAAAGCATAAATGAAGGGGCCCCACTGGACAGACCAAGAAGCACCGGCAGGAGGAACAGGCTTGAATGCCTCCGTCGCCACACCGGAAGGGGCATCCTCCGAAAATGCCCGAATCTCAACACCAACTAAACCCTGCCCCGACACCGAAACTCTCAGACGCTTCGGAGCGGGAACTGGCGGTGGGGGGGGGGGGAGGGGTGGACTGGCTTGGGGGGGAGTGGCCAGGACAAACAACAGAGCAACCAACTGGGTAAGCAACCAACCGGATGAGCAACCAACCGGATGAGCAACCAACCGGATGAGCAACCAACCGGATGAGCAACTAACCGGGTGAGCAACCAACCTAGTGCATTGCAGCAACCTAAAGCGAGCATGCAGTGCCGTAGCCACCAGCACCAAATCATTATCAGTGGACTTAGTGTATTGGAGTATAAACAAGGAACAAAACTCGCTGGACTCAGAGTCGAAGGTGTCACCAACCCAACAGGCAGCATGACAGGTGAGTGTCACCCGGAAACAAGGGGACAGAGCAACCCTCAAACTCGCCTGAAGTGAGATGGGACTCGAGGGACTCATCCATCCTTCGTCCTGCCTCAGTAGGGTTTTTGCATGGCCCTTAGTCGCATATTCTTGCTAAGGGATGCCCAGGCAAGGTTAATTGGCTAACCAAAATTACCAAACAAACTGCTAAAGCTGAACCCCTGGGATGTTTACACTCCCAGGGACCTAGCAGAGGACCACCAAGATATAAATGTGTGATCACCAAAACCAAGGGGCAGATCTCCCACCAGGCAACGAAAACAAAAGAAACACCCAGCAAGAAGACAATGTACCCAAGGCAGAACAGAGCTGGCCGCTATGAGTAGGTAAAAACAAGATCCACAGTACCTTGCAACCCTACCAGTGAATAAAACTACCTCCTACCCAGAGGCAAACAGGGGTGCATGAAACACCCTAGCTGACTCCCAGGGCAGGCAATCACCGAGCAGCAAATACCAAAGCAGAGGTAGACCCAAAGGTGACTTGTGGAAGGTAACCCCAAGCCCCAAGAGCAGTACTTACAGGGCAGCTAGGGGAGGTAACCCTAGGCACATGCAGCCCAAGTACTTGGGAAATTACTCGAAGCTCGCACACCACCATTGGACAGGACTACACCACAAGGCACAGCACTGAGAAGATTTGGAGCCAGAGTCACACAACTGCCAAGAATCACATCAGCCACAAAACTGGGGTGTGGATAGCCAGTGCGGGGGACTCAGGCTCCCATTTCCGCCTCCCGGGAATAGGGGAGCTGCGCAGACAGCGGTGCGGTGACGTCATGCTCGTTTGCTCATCTTCATATGGAGAGTTCTGTCCAACAGTTCAGCTTTCAGTAGCAATCTTTTAACCAGAATAGGGATTTGTTTTGGGATGCTTACCTTTCTGGGTGCCTGACCCAGTCAATGGCAGACACAGAATGCTTTCAACCACACGGGGGTTTCTATCGGCCATTGCTCCTCGTGCCTTTCCGATAGGGCCAGGGTCTGGCTCATGATCCCCGATAGGACTAGAACTCCATTCGCTTGACTGATGACAAGGTCTAATACATTCATATCATTGGGATAGCTCCGGAGAGCTGAAGCGGCTCCCCCCCAAAAAAAATTCATTAACAAAAATTCAAAACTAAAGTAATACTGGGTTTAATAAACTGTATTCAAACAAAATGCAAATCCATTAGATGGGTGCCCACATATGATAGTAAGTTGTGAAATGGGAGTACAATGTGACTATAGTGCATAAATATATAAGTGGAGATTCCAACTAATTGATTCATTTCAGTAAAGACAAAGGTTATTTAACTAAGTAAACAAAGATTATATGCTACCTTAATTTACAGTATGACAATGATTAAACTATGTGGAGAGGGGATAGATGGTGCACCTACATGGTCTTGTGGGTCTTGGTCTGAGGCCTGAGGAAGACACCCATGGACTCGCAATTGGCCAGCATGTTACTGCAGTTAGCTTTAACTTTTGCCAGATCCACCAACAGTGCAGGTGTGGTCAGCTCACACACCTGTCGACCCACGTTGGATCCTTCCCCCATTTGCTTCGTTGAAGTTAAACTTTAAGCATACACTAATGGGAAAATGGAAAAAAAAATTAATCATAAAAATAAAACACATTTTCATGTAGATAAATTTATTGCAACAATATGGTAAATTGCACATTCACATTGCACACATCACAATTGCACAAATCAGTTAAAGTGATTTGACCAGAGATCCTTCATACAGTAAGTATGAAGGACCTCTGGAGTCTGCCCCACATGGTAATGTTTTGTTCAGCATTTGCTAGTATGGTATGTAAGAAGATTTAGTGGCACCAATCCCAGCAAATTTACATTTCACTTTTCCTGTCAAGCCATTACTACTACAGTATACTTGGAAGTGTGTACATAGCACTTGGAAGGGGTCAGGATAAGGATTTGAGATGGGGTGGAGGGAAAGAAATGGTTTCCAACCACTTGGACGGTCAGGAATTGAACACCAGCCTGCATGAAGCGAGACTGTCGTTTTACCATCCAGCCCTTTCCTGTCCGAGGTGACCATATACAGTGGGGCTTCGACTTACGATGGTAATCCGTTCCCAGAGACTGATCGTAAGTCGAAACATCGTAAGTCAAAGCGATTTTTCCCATAAGAAATAAAGGGAATTGAATTAATTCGTTCCCCACCCTCCAAAATATTAACTTACAAATACATTTTATACTGAATACAATTTCTTTTCTAACTACAATACAGTACATGTGTTTATCTTACCTTTATGGAGGACTCATGATGCATATGGAAGATGGTGAGGAGGGGGGAGGAGAAGAGGTGTTATTGTTTGGAAGGGGAGTCCCCTTCCATCATAACATCAGGCAGTGATGACTTCTCTGGGGTACACACTCTCTTATGTTATGCCTGCAGGAGTTTTGCCAACCACTAAGACCTCTTCTATCATGGATGGAAAATTTTCTGACTGATAGAAAAATGAGGGCAGTAATCAGAGGCAATGTATCGGAATGGAGAAATGTCACAAGTGGAGTACCACAGGGTTCAGTTCTTGCACCAGTGATGTTTATTGTGTACATAAATGATCTACCAGTTGGTATACAGAATTATATGAACATGTTTGCTTATGATGCTAAGATAATAGGAAGGATAAGAAATTTAGATGATTGTCATGCCCTTCAAGAAGACCTGGACAAAATAAGTAGATGGAGCACCACTTGGCAAATGGAATTTAATGTTAATAAATGTCATGTTATGGAATGTGGAATAGGAGAACATAGACCCCACACAACCTATATATTTTGTGAGAAATCTTTAAAGAATCCTGATAAAGAAAGAGATCTAGGGGTGATTCTAGATAGAAAACTATCACCTGAGGACCACATAAAGAATATTGTGCAATATGCTTTCTAACTTCAGAATTGCATTTAAATACATGGATGGCGATATACTAAAGAAATTGTTCATGACGTTTGTTAGGCCAAAGCTAGAATATGCAGCTGTTGTGTGGTGCCCATATCTTAAGCACATCAACAAACTGGAAAAGGTGCAAAGACATGCTACTAAGTGGCTCCCAGAACTGAAGGGTAAGAGCTACGAGGAGAGGTTAGAAGCATTAAACATGCCAAAACTAGAAGACAGAAGAAAAAGAGGTGATATGATCACTACATACAAAATAGTAATAGGAATTGATAAAATTGACAGGGAAGATTTTCTGAGACCTGGCACTTCAAGAACAAGAGGTCATAGATTTAAACTAGAATAGAACCAATGAAGAGCAGAGGTGCCATAGGCACAATCAGAGAACACTGTATAAACATCAGAGGTCCGCGGTTGTTCAACGTCCTCCCAGCAAGCATAAGAAATATTGCCGGAACAACCGTGGACATTTTCAAGAGGAAACTAGATTTATTCCTCCAAGGAGTGCCGGACCAACCGGACTGTGGTGGGTATGTGGGCCTGCGGGCCGCTCCAAGCAACAGCCTGGTGGACCAAACTCTCACAAGTCGAGCCTGGCCTCGGGCCGGGCTTGGGGAGTAGAAGAACTCCCAGAACCCCATCAACCAGGTATCAACCAGGTAGCTAAACACAGATGCCGAAGAAATATAAGAAAATTCACCTTCACAAACAGAGTGGTAGACGGTTGGAACAAGTTAAGTGAGAAGGTGGTGGAGGCCAAGACCGTCAGTAGTTTCAAAGCGTTATATGACAAAGAGGGCTGGGAAGACGGGACACCACGAGTGTAGCTCTCATCCTGTAACTACACTTAGGTAATTACACTTAGGTAATTACAAGGAGCAGCAACAAGAGACAGCCGAGGAAATTTCTTCAGGGGGGGAGGAGACAGTACAGAATGTCTATCCCTTCCTCATTAATTAAGAAAATGTGTGCAGCTTGGGAAGAATTGCAAACTTTTGCTGAAATGACTCACCCAAATCACGGTGCAGTAGGCCGTTACCTTAACCTTTTTAATGACACTGTGATACCTCACTACAGACAATAATTAAAATATATGGAAAAACAAAAATCTCTGGAAAGGTTTTTAGTGAGTCAAACAAGCAGTGAATCACAACCAGCTTACCTGTCACCCCTCCAATATTTTCCAGTTTCCAGAACAACCTCTTATGTGGAACTCTGTCGAAAGCCTTTTTTAGGTCCAGATAGATGCAGTCAACCCAACCATCTCTTTCCTGTAATATCTCTGTGGCTCAATCATAGAAACTGAGTAAATTCGATACACAGGATCTTTCAGATCGAAAACCATACTGTCTGTCTGATATTATATCATTTCTCTCTAGGTGTTCTACCCATTTAGTTTTGATTAGTTTTTCCAATACTTTCACTATTACACTTGTCAATGATACAGGTCTATAATTGAGGGGGTCTTCCCTGCTGCCACTTTTGTAGATTGGAACTATGTTAGCCTGTTTCCACACGTCTGCTACGATTCCTGTACACAGGGATGCCTGAAAGATCAGGTGAAGTGGAATGCTGAGCTCAGATGCACATTCTCTCAGAACCCATGGTGAAACGCCATCTGGGCCAGCTGCTTTGTTCTTACCGAGCTCCCTGAGCATTTTTTCCACTTCGTCTCTAGACACCTCTATGTGCTCTATGTTGTTCTCTGGAATTCTTATTGTATCCGGTTCCCTAAAGATTTCATTTTGTACAAACACACTTTGGAACTTTTTGTTTAGTGTTTCACACATTTCCTTTTCATCTTCCGTGAATCTATTTCCCATTTTCAACCTCTGAATATTATCCTTTACCTGCAATTTGTTGTTTATGAATTTATAGAATAGACCTGGCTCTGTTTTACATTTGTCTGCAATCCCTTTTTAAAAATTTCTTTCTGCCTCTCTCCTCACTGCCGTGTAGTTGTTTCTCGCATCTTTGTATCGCTGGTATGTTTGGGAGTTCGGCCTCTTCCTGTATTGATTCCATTTTTGTGTCTTTTGGTCTCTAGCCCTCTCGCAATTTCTATTGAACCAATCCTGTTTCCTAGTTCTGCATCTCTGTTTTGGTATAAATTTTTTTGTGCCTTTATCATATATTTCACAAAACTTGACATACATCTCATTCACTTCCTTGCCTAGCATCAAGTCTGTCCAATTATACTCACTAAAAAAATTTCTAAGGTCACCATAATGTCCTCTCCTGAAGTCTGGTTTTTCAACTGCTTCAACCTCCTTATTTTCTTCCAGCTTATAACGCATTGCATACTTTATTCCCAAAAAGACTGAAGTTCTTCTGAAAAAGTTGTGAAGTTCTTCGGTGGTCAGTTCTTCGCTGTGTTCCTCCACCAGCTCGCAACACACAACACTCACATCACTATAAATGCCACTTCTTTTTCTAAATTTCTCAAACCATCCCCTGCTCGCCTTAAACTCTTTTGCATTGCATCACTCGTTCCAGGGGTTTTCCTTAAAAGGTCTTCATGCAATTTTCCTTGCTTTTTCACAAATGATGGCCTCTGAAACTCTATCACCCGCTAACTCCTTGCTGTGTATCCAAATTAATAATAACTGTTCAACATCCTCAAGTGTTTGTGTTCTATGTTTCGTGATTATTGATACGCCTTTTGCCACTTTAGCACTCATAATGTTCTTTTTCTTAGCCAGTACGGTGGATATCGTTGACTGTGATTTGTTGTACTGCCTAGCTAGTTCAACAGTAAGTGAGGCGACAGTAAGAAACATCAAAACTGTAGTCCTGAAAACCCAAGAAAGGACAAGACAACCCGATGCAAAAGAGAAGACAACCTACGAAGAGCAAGAAAAAGTGCATAGAAACACAAGGAAAAGTCATACTGTTGCTGAGACGAAGCTCGCAGGTGGGACACCACAACAAAGCCACCTGATCACCACAGAGATGGTGATACCTGCGTCAAAATACTAGATGCGAAGAGCCGACAAGAAAGCCGAAACAGTCACGTACAGGACCGGTCCAACCTGCCGAAAGAGGCGGAGCCGCGGGAAAACGCCCCAGGTTCGGACACCTATTAAGCAGCGTCTGAAAATAAAGCTGAGCCAGCCACCAAGGGCCCATAAAGACTACTCTCATGGGAATGGGCTCCAACCGAGCCAGTACCCGAAGCAACAGCTGGACCATTCCCGTAGAGGTTCTTGCCTCTACAGAACTCAACAGAAGAAAATAAAAACAAAAGAAAACCCCCGCAAAAGTACACCGTCTCCAGAGGCAACAGGAACCGGTCGCCGCTTAGGTGGCAGGCCGCGCAACACCTTGACGCCCTAACCAGCACAATACCAGTCCCTACCCAGGGCCAAACACGGGCCCCAAGCCCCAGCTGGCCCCCAAGGGCGAGGCAAATGCCGAGCAGCAAGAACCTCTACGGGAATGGTTCCCGAATGCCCCAGGGAAGATAACCCTGTCACGCAGGGTCAGTACTCACAGGGCGCTTAGGGAAGTCAGCCACTAAGTGCATGCAGCCCCGGCACTGATGAGGTACTCCTGGCCACCGCACAACACAACACACAGCAGTGAACGCCACACAAGGCAAACACTGCCTAGGAAACTGAGGCCAGAGAAGCATCTATCCTGGTTGACATTAGCTTACGAACT